ATCTTACCCTTGACTGACTTGACATTGATCTTCACAGTGGAACGGGCCACAATACCTGGTCTGTTACGTGCTTCACAAGAATATTCACCACTATCACCTTCCACAACTTCGGCAATGTAAAGTTTGCTCAATTTGTCATCTACTTGTGTATCAATTTGTGCTCTTGGGATTACTTCATCATCATTTTTCTTCCAACTGATCGCCACGGTAGCTTCATTGGCTGAACAAGTTAGTCTGAATTGATCTCCTACTGCCAGTTTTGGATATGGCTTTGGGCTGACTTCAGCACTGGGTTTTTCTTTTAAGACCAACAATCCAGCAATAGGCAAAGGTGAAAACAAAGCAGTCAAATTGTGAAAAGACAGAGTCTTAAAGGTATTAAATTTGTCTGCAAGGCTCTTTGGTGCATTTATTTTCTGGAGAGCTTAATAGTATCACTCTCTATTCATCTTGATCAAGTATGAGCCTCATTCCTCAGAAATTTACTGAGAAAAGAGATACAATGTGAAGATTTCAAAACAAGACCAGTGACAAATAAACGCACCATCAAGAAAATTTGAAGCAGGCAATTTGATTTCAATCTGCCAATCAGCAAATCATGGCCATTAGCAGATTATGAATATTCGTGCAGAGTTGAACCCCTATTAACCGGCCACCCCCTATTAAGCGGCCAGTTATCAAGTCCCTAAATTATTGTCAGTGAAATACTGTAAATAAAACCCCAATTAAAGACGTTCGCGCTAATTGTTTCTGCGCATCCTTACTGCGCACGCAAATTCACGCATGAGAAAGCATGCCAAGTAATACATGAACAATGATACGGCAGATGGCCATTGCTATAACTTTGCCTGGATTTAAAGATCTTGGACGTTCGGTGACCCCTATTTTTCTTTTGATGGATCATTTTCTCTATCGATTTTCTACGTTTAGCGAAAAAATGAAGAAAATCTATTGACCAGAAGTTTGAATTTTTTGCAAAATGCACCATCGAATTCCGTTCTTCTTAGCTCTTCGTTTATCTGCTCGACGGTTTCAAATGCCTCTTGAAGGTTTAAGTTTTAACCGGCCACCTCTATTAAGCGGCCACTGCCACCTTTTGGTCGTCCTGATGAGGGTTTTTCTATTGTCTATTAAATGGCCACCCAAAATTTAAAAACTTTGTTTTGGAAAAGGCGATGTCAGATAAGAGTCCAAAATCGAAGGTGAGGACTAGTGATAGAAAGATTCAGTCACATGTTTATCATGATTGTCTTGAAGTGACTCCATGTTCACTAAAAAATTAACCCAATGGTGAAAAATATTCAAGGTACACCAACCTCTATTAAGTGGCTANACTGTATGCGAATGTTTGGCCTTAAAAAGATGGGTAAGGATACTGTGAATGTACAAATTATACAGCTAGGCCCAGTTATCTTGAACTCTCAAACTGAAAAAAAAAAGTTGAGATACTGGTAGGAGGTGGCACAAGATGACCCACAGTAAATGAGTTAAATAACACGATACATTTTTTAAACTTAAATTATTGAATGATACTATCTTTCTTTCCTTACCAAACACATGAAGGTATGCAGAGGAAGTTGTTGTGTTAGCTTTGTTTTCTGCTGTACACTTGTAGATACCTTCCATTTGCTTTGTAGCATTAGACAACTCCAGAAATGATCCTTCACCAAAACTGCTTTGCTTGACACCTGATGGGAGGTCCCCATCATTAAATTTCCAGGACAATGTTGGCTTGGGAACACCTGTGGCTTTGCAGCTGAAGTTTGCTGGATGGCCTTCAGGCACAGACTTGTTTCTTGGAGAAACATAAATCTGAGGAGAGACTTTAAACCAAACATGCTCTTTTAAATTGATGGTCTCATGGTCTCAACCCAACCAGAGCAATCAACTGATTCACTTATTTTCATTTTATTTTAGGGTTAAAACCCTATTTAGCCTGGCCTTATTTTGTTTCTGAGCCAGGCCAGGGGAGTTGCTCTCATATACATGTATCTACATATCTCAAAAAGTATTCGCTCAGTAATGAAACTTAATTACATGACAAATATTTAGGGATAATTATGTGACATGACATCATATCACACCTTAATGATGTGAAAGTTAAAAAGTCCCCCATTTTGGATATGCTGATTTGCAGATAAGCATTTCCAAAAATTTTTCAGAAATTGCAGAACAGTTCTTTGATATTTCCCAAATCGAAACAGAAACAACTCTTAATTTTGATAAAACACACTTATACCCTGTTGCCGTGGAAACATAAAGAGACAAAACCAAAATATTATCCCTGAAAGTACAGTAAACAAAAAAAACAAACAGAAAACAAACACCTGATTTCATAAACTTGCTCCAACAGCTATCGCATGCCAACTGACAAAGGATACGACATAATTACCTTACACTGTAAATTCTGGGTATAAAGGGGCACAAAAAATAAGGACCCATTGATTTCAAAACAAAAGCTTAGTAATAAAATCAATGTAGTTTTTCGTTAAAATCAGGTAGAACATTTTCACATTCGTCCCAATGATTATTAGTTTGGTAGAAAAAGTTATTCCATTGTTGAACTCCTGACTATTCGAAGATAGAAGTCCTCTTTAAGTAATGTTGTAGAAAAATGTTCCCCTAGCTACAGTATAATCAAAGAAATGAGGATTGTTGTTTTCAATAGGAACTTAACAGGCCTTGATTAGTACAGTCAAAAGTTTAACATGTTAAATTTCCAACTACAGGTATAAATGTGACAAAGCTAGTGAGGCCATCACTTAATTGGAAAGTGTGCCAGGTTTGGACAACTGAATAGAATTGCCATTAACTCTGTTCAGTGACTGATAGAAGCCATGTTTTTAATACTTTTATTCAGAAGTCATATACCTTACCTGTTACATCAATCCAAAAAGTAGCTTGTACCTCTCCTAACCAGTTTGCGGCTGTACATCCATACAAGCCAGTGTCGTCTAAAGTCATGTTATCATCAAAGTATGTGTTTTTGTTTTGGTTAGCAAGATCCACGCCATTCTTAGTCCAGTTAATCTGTAGTGGACGATCACCCCACACAATGCATTTCATTTTAAACTTGTGGTTCCATGCAACAGATCGATTCCTGAGCTCAGGGTGCAGTTCAGGTGGAGCTTGGGAAGCAAGAGAATTAAGGAGTGAATTTGCTGTTTACATGTACATGAAATTTCCAAATCCTTTATGTTCCTTTAAAGACTGAACAAACAGGCCAACTTGGTGAAATTAAAAAAAAAAAATACACTGTAGCCATCAAGTTGATCAATGTATTACAACCCATGAATAAAAATTGTATGCACACACTTTCCATGGTTGATACATATGTACATCATGCTTGCATTGCTATTTAGGACATTTTTATACTGCTGAAAGAAAAAGATTGGTGTGGATGAACCACCGCAGCCGGA